TCGCAACCCAAACAACAGCTCTACCAGCTGCTATAACACCTCTGTGCCATCTCAGCCTACTACCACCAACCATCCAGTCAATTGTCGCCGCTCTTCCTTTCAGCTGCTGCCTGTGCTTAGTTTTGCCTTCCAGAGCTGATGGTCAACTCTCCCCAACTATACCCGCAACATGCAACCAGCCCCCCACTTACTATCCTGCCAACACCCAACACTGCATCCTACCCCTCCAGTGTTGTTTTCCATTTATTTACATTTTTGAAAAGTTTCATTGTAACCATTTAGATTTAAGCAATAATATTTCTATTTTTTATTGTGTTTTGGGATAACTCCGGTATCAACAACAGTGACAAGAGATGCCTGGCGGAGTGGATAGTGGTGAGAAAATGCAAACTTATTCCTTGTGTTGGTTGAAGAAAAAGAATGAGATTATAGTGACAAGAGATGCTTAGCGAAATTCCCTAACATATATAAATTTTAGGAGCAAGTGTAATGTGACATGGCACATATGAATATGTCACATTCTGTTAGGTCCTTCTAAGTAGTATGACGTTGCAGTAGTTATGAGGCTACAAAAAATACATAATCCTTCAACAAGAATGGAAAGTGCATCATATTGTTATCTTGGAATGAGTTAGAAATAATAAGAGATTATACAAAGTATAAGATTACAGTGTCGTGTGGCATTTTTCTACGGGCCTCGAGATAAGTATCAGCAGAACTATCATTGGTGCTCCAATAAGGAAGTGAGTCGTAGCCCTACTAAAAGAGTTTCAAGGTATCCTAAACTACAATGTACTTACTGGATTGCACCACAAAAGGAAATCTGGTATGCTATAGATTTCATTCCAAGGGTTGCCCTCCCAAATCAACCTACCTACCGAATGCGTTCGGTAGAATATGAGCTGCATAAACGTGTTTCAGACTTAATGGCTTGAGGCTTTAACTGCGAGATTACTAGTCCATACGCAATCTTAGCCCTAATTGTGCCCAAAAAGGATATTTCTTGAAGTATGTGTATTGATAGTAGGTTGTGAAAAAAAATAATATTAATTATTGATTCCTCATTCCACAGCTGGGTGATTTGGTAGATTAGTTTCATGAAGCCAGCATCTTCTCCAAGATCAAACTACTTGGTAATCACCATTAGATCAGGATGAGATAAAGAGATGAGTGAAAGGCAAACTTCAGGGCTCGAGATAGATTGTACAAATGCACATTCACACCCTTTAGCTTGTTCAATGCTTCGAGCACTTCATGCGGTTGTTGAACCAAGTTTAAGAATATTCATAAAAAATTTTATTGTGTATTTTGATAATATCTTGGCGTACAAACATACGATGGAGAATCACTTGTGACACTTATGAGGGATTTTTTAGGTGCTTAAATTCTTTCAACTAAGCAAGGGGCAAAATTGCTTTAAGAAAAAATTCATTGGTTTATTTAAGGGACACTTATGAGGGATTTTTTTGGCCGACCCACTACTAAGAAAATCAACTAAGCAAGGGGCAAAACCGCAAGTGAATCAGCCTAAAGGCATTTAAATTCTTTCAAAACAATATCAAATCAGTCCCAAAATGTGCGTAAAAGCCTCTAAAAATCAGCACTTAAATTGTCCCAATTGATGTATAAGAGCCTATAAAAATCAGCACTTAAAGTGCCCCAATGAGTGTATGAAAGCCCCCTAAATATTCTCAAATCGACACAAACATAGAGCAGAAAACAGTCATTTAAAATTTTTGTGGTATATATGTAAAAGCGGAATTTTGTGTGTTAAATATGCGAATGCAAAAGAATTGTGTGGCGTACATGTAAATCTCCATTTTTTGTTTTATGTGCAGTGTAAACATCCAGCAATTAGGTGGCATGTATGTAAACACCACCATAGAAAAAAACAGAGGCAGCTCAACCAGCTTGGCCATTAACTATTCCAAGCAAAACTGAGAAAAGAATTCACATCATATTATTCCGGACCTTAAATGTGCTGATTCGTTCAAACAGTTTCCCTATATCTGATTGTAGGTGTAAATGATACAGCAACTTTTCCAAGGCCCATATTAGTGAAAGAACGTATGTTGCAATTCATATATTCCAGAAATATATTTCATCCAGGAAGCTCTATTCATGATTCAAACACAAAACTCCCATAACATAATGAAGGCAGCATAAGCATTATATGAGATGTGAGGCTGCGTATCATGTTTGATGAAGGATAACTATATGAACAAAATTACATTTTAGAATAGTACTTTACTGTTAAATTATTATATTAAAACAGCAATCTTCATATTCATTAAGAAATTATCATATGGTTTAGACAAATGGCGCTTATGGATTGTAGTTCAGGCAACATATATGCACATATGCAAATACTCAAGATATCAAGTGGTACGCATGTAAATCTGTCTCAAAAAATGCAACCTAGGTGTTAGAGATGTAAATGTATATAAATTGAGTGAAGTGTATGTAAATCAGCTCAAGTCTACATCAAGTTTGAGGTAGAGGCTATCATATACAAACCGCCATTCATTAGGTAAAGCTCCAAACATCGCGAATGCCCAAAATTTTCAGACTTCTCCCAAAAACGGAACCACCGCATTTTCAGATTCCTCAAAAAAAAAAAAAAGGCCAAAAACCTTGAGATTTTCACAAAGAGAAAACCTAAGCTTTCAGATTTTCACAAAGATATAGCACCAAAGCTACAAGTATTAAGCACTACCATGAGTTAAGAAAACAGAAAACCCATTCATAACCCAAGCAGGTCAAACCAAATTTAAGAAGATAAAAGAAAATGATTTCCCATTTTTCTACATCCTCAAGCAACTATGTGCCCTTTCTAAGCATGCTAATATGGGGGTTCCAATGCATTTAATCATGTATATCAGTAAAGCAGTGAAATAGAGAGCAGGTAAGGAGTGTAGGCTGCCCTAAAGTTCCAAAGAGACCACCATTTAAACATGCTAAGCAACAAGTGAGATGATCTCATCGAATGACAATGCTTTGTCCGAACATAACAAACTACTAAAAGAGAAACAGGGACAACTTGTAAGCTTCTGAGCCACATAGACCCAAACCATAAACATCTCAAACTTTTCAAAATGAAGTTTTCAATGATTTCAAAACTTCATAAATAAGGCTTCCAAAATTTTGAACTGCATAAACCTTTACCCAAAAGGAAAACTAGTTATCTCTTGCACACCAAGCAACCAACAAGAGCATTGAACGACCAATGGAAAAAAAAAAGGATTACCTCACCCGAGCTATACTCACAAATTTCCAGGAGATCTCAAGCACACACAAGATGAACCGGACAAGGAGAGTCCAACAACAATCCAAAATTTTGGCAGCACCTCCCCCTCTCCAAAATTTCCGCCAACCCTAAAACCCTTCCACAAGTGGGGGATTTATAGCAGGAGGAGGAAGAATATCATCACCTACCTGGGCGGTAAGCCGAGCCAACAAGGATGGGGTGAGTGGCGACATGGACGGGGCAGAGAACGTGGCGAGGGTAGGTGGAGCAGGTGGAAGCTTTACCAGAGGAAGGGGAGGATGGTGGGGACCTTGGGTTGAAGTGTCGCGAAGCAGAGAAGAGGAGCACTAGCCTAGGGCTCGCGTGCGATTGGGAAGAGGGGCGAGGGTGCGGCTGGACCGAGCAAGGAGAAGAGAGATTGTGCTTGGTTCGAATGGGAAGAAGAGGGCATGATCGAGGAGAGGCGGACCGGTTAGGGATTTAGGGATTTAAGGAAAATGAATTTTCTTTTTTTTCTTTTTTTTTAATGTCTAATATTAAAATTTTGCAATTCGCACAATATTCACTCGTGCAGGGAATTACATCAAAATAGGTGTCCCTCTTAGTTGAATTCGACTTTCCAAACGCGCCGACGCAGTCCGTTTCGTCATCCGGGGTTGTTCGGACAACCTCGTCGACAGTCGGGTCGAAAACGCGTCAAATTCAGTTTTTCTTAAAATTTCAAGTTTGTGATCGATCGTTTCAAAATTTTATTTACGTTTCAATTAATTATGCAATATATAAAGATGCAGGTGACCTGAATTGCAATATTTAAACATATCGACTGTCCAAATTACAAAGTTTGTGCGCACGAATGTGCAGATTGTGCATAAGACAACCCTAGGGCTTAATGGTCCTATGGAGACTCCTTTTGAGTTTCCTAACGTTGGTTTTAACCTCCTAAGTGGTAGAGGTCAAGAACCACACATGCGGAACTAGAAAAGGGTAAAGAAAAACTTTGAACTTCTAAAATGAGGTGGGTCCCATTTCTAAAACTCTAAGATTTTCAAAGAAAGAATCATAAGGCTATACCTTAAACCCTAAGAAGAAAACTAGACCTCACTAAAAATGTGGTCAACAGGCATACACACTCAAGTATAAAGAAAAATATTATCATAAATACAAGCATAAAAATAGATATTACGTGCATGTTTGCACATTAATTTAATACTATACAAGAAAAAACACTAACTAGAAAAATGACATATTACAGATTACCTTAATTGGTTTCAATATTTGAAAAATATAAAATGCTTTGAATATTTTCAATAGGAATCTCATATATGATTCAGCTACCAGATACTACTATTTTTTCTTCCTTATTATTTTTTGAACAATCCACATATCACATCAAATATAACTTCTTAAAAAGCTTGAAACATGCTCGATTGCATGAAATGGAAATGGCATCCTTATTGAAATATTGATACTAATAGAATCATGTCATAAAAAATTACAAATTTTAATTCAAAATCCAAGAATGCAGCCAAGCGAGCTGCTTCTATTAAAACATTTTGGAGGAAGGATAGAAAATCTAGACTGGCCCAAGCCAACGCAAAATTTGCCACAAAATAATGTTTTTCTAGAATTATATCAAAGTTATTTGGCAAGCTAAAATGTACTCAAATGTATGAATGAGAACTTGTATTGGGAAAACTTTTACTGGAATAAGTTGCATTTCAACAGAATTCTTCATATAGTAAGGATGCAATACCTCAGCATTGCACAATGTGCAAAACAACGCATCCTCTCCCCCTTGTTGCTCAGAGACATCATCTCTGCGACAATCTTCTTTCGCAAATAGCACACAGATAAATCCTCCAAAGAAGAAGCACCATGTTGGTCTTTTAGTTTTAGTTGCAGGTTCCACTGGAATATTCACATTTGGATCTCTTCCAGATGAAACTTGGTCATGAGGATTTCCATCAAATGGGCTTCTACAAGTAGAAGAAGTTGGGGAAGAATGTAATCCTGTAGCACTAACTCCCAGATGATTTGGTAAATTTATGCTTTGCACCCTACGATCATTGCTTGGCCCATTGACGATTTCACCATCAAACTTTGCCATAATTCCTGGATCTGCCGGATTGATACGAGTACAACGGACATAAAGAATAAAAACTCCGATTACCTGAAATAGCATAATCAGCAAAATAATACAGTAAAAGGAAACTTGTTAGTTCTACAAGTCTCATACCACAGGGGTGTAAACACCAATTGCAACATACTCCAAGACTTGCTTTCCCAAAAAAGGTGCAAAGAAGGCATAGAATGCAACAACCAGGAGAAAGAACACTGTGATAGCAATAACCTATAAGGAAAAAGAAATTGAATGAACTGTGAAATCATATAAAAACCAAATAGTTCATTAAAAAGAGCCTGAACATATAAACAAAATTTGAACAGGATGTCCGATAAAAAGCACATGATTAAAACATAAAAAAGGTGGGCCAAAAAGACTCATTCACACAAATTGAAGGACAAACAGGGAAGCATCTCACTAGATTAATTTCAATGACCCATTATCATCATAACTAAATATACCTTGTTTTTTTTTAAGTTTAATTTCTTTAAGAAACAAGAGGTTAATTATGTGAGATTTAGATAGCATATTTTAACAATATAATCCTATTTTGGAACTATATCAACCAGCTCAAATTAAGAACTCAAGAGAAGCAATTAAATATTTAATTGAATTTTTAAATTGGATTGGTATTATTTGTTTTCAAAAAATAAGAGACCTTGAAGGGATACCATTATAGCCTATGAAAATTTTTTCAAGAACAGATTTTTTATATTTTGTGGTGAGTTTCCGTTATTTTCTATAATAAACAATGAACTTATACGCTTGTTGATTCAATAAAAAATAGTTTAGATCTCCTGCAAAACTTTAGTCTGTAAGGAGTTAATATTGTCAACATTTGGATTGATTTACAAATCAATTACAACGAAGATTCACGAATGCTAACATATTACTTTCTTATATTTTATTCCCTACATCCTCAACACCCTAACAAAGTATAAAGACTCTAAACCTACTTCAACTTTACAAAAACTAATTTATATACCTTCTGCAAAATCCCAACCCATGTTGTCTACATGATGTTAACTAATCCCAATAGAAAATTATATAACATTCTAACCATGCATGCAATTAACATAAAATCACTGCTATTAGTTAGCTAACATATCAAATCATTGATCTTGAAATTCTCATCCTTTTCCATAAAAAAAAAAGCCAGCATTCCACTTTCATAATCTTTCATAAGAAAACATATCTATATACCCCGAACTGGTCAACATTTTCTCTTAGCCTTCAAAAACAATAAACCACCCAGTTTTACTACAACGACCCTTAAATAGTAGTAAAAAAGATCCCAAATCCCATAGCCTTCGTATTAAAAGAGAAAGAAAGTTAACAATCCAAACAGGCACTCCTTCATTACAAGAAGCAACCCTAACTTGGAACCATTCATCAAAATTTTCATCCGTCAAATCACTTTTGTTTGAAGATGAAATCTTATATTTCATTCGCAAGGCATCTTAAAATCAATTGTCATCCCAATAGCTATATATATCATGCCACTAAATCTAGATAAAGCTACAAAAATAACACCAACTACATAAATGAATGGAGTATTGTCCTTCTAACTTTGTAAAGCATATTTCATCGAGTAGAGCAGAGTTGATGTTGGAAAAGAAAAAATGCCTCTCACTAGATCAATTTCAATACTTCATGGTCATGACAATTAATTGCACCTTATTTTAGTTTATTTTATTTGCTTTATGAAATAAGAGTTTAATTATATGACGTATAGAGAGAATATTTAAATGCAAAAATATATTTTGAACCACATCAATCAACATAATTTAAGGAATCATAAGAAGCAATCAAATTGTTGATCAAAAATTTTAAATTTATATTATTTATTTTAAAAAAGGCAGGGATCGTGAGTAACATTATAGCCAATGGATGAATTTTCATATAAGAATTTTAGTGTATTTCATTATGAATTTTCTTCCTTTTCCATAGCATGAAATGCACAAATAATAATCCGATTGATTAATTGATTCCATAAAAATAATGTTAATCTCTTACAAAACCTTATGCCTAGCAATTGAATTGATTTGCTAATCAATCGTAATTAAGGTTTGCAAATCCTAACATATCGTTTTTTTCTCGTATTTCTTATTCTGCCATATTCCCACCATACACTCATAAAGCCTCATAGCCCACTTCAATCCTCTTAAAAGCTGAGTGAAAGCCCTCCTATAAAATCCTAACTCTTATTGTCTACCGGCTATGACCAATCCATATAGATATTCACAAGTTCCTAACAGCACATCCAATTAGCCTAGAATGACCACCATCAAACCATGGATTGATAAATTCTCACCATTTTCCATCAAATAAAACCCAGCCTTCTATTGCCATAAAATTTCTGACATGAATTTGTCTAGAAATACTAAACTAATCAGCATATTTTCGCAGCCTTTCACCTCCACTTCTACAATCCTTGTTATCTCTTAACCACATCCCCATCACTTATCCAGCTAATTTTTCGTGTTGATTCACCATATACAATATAAAAGTAAGAAAAATTTTTAAAACTGAAATAACTTGTTAGTTTAAGACTTTAACTATGAATTAAATTTAACAATAACTTACAGAATAAAATAAGCAGAATAATTGAATTGTCACAATTAGAAAAATTAATTAACACTGATAATACTATGAAAATCAAGATGAAGAAAATAAAAGAGGGAAAACAGACGATTGCTTGTTAGTGGGCAGGTTTTCTCCTACCTTTCTTAGTTTTTTGAATCTCAGCTGTGATTAGCACAGAAGTTTTAATCATCAAGTAAAAAAAATGAATAGAAGCAGAATCCAATTACTGGTCATACACACAAATTAGCTCATGTAGGCCTTTATGCATGAAAACATCCTTTTCCATGGATATATGCAAAATAAATGCATGGATTTATACATAACAGATAACTTGTTAATCAAAGTGAAAAAAACGTAGATAAAATAGAAAATGATAAGATATGCACAAAAATTAATTAGATTAGACGAATCACAGTTAAAGAAAAAAAGATAGAAAAGCCACTTTGAGAAGTTATTCAATAAAAAAAATGCAAAAAAGAAAACTACTATGAAAAAAAGAAAGATAGAAAAATGTGGCATATTATAGACTTATTCAAAAGAATGTGGAAGAGTTTACTCTCAAGATGATAAGGCTTTGGGTCTAAATCACATATCTAATCAACTTTGAAGAGTTATAAGTGATATTAGATTTCTTTCATTAACAAATATTTTCAATAAAATATTGCAGACAAAGCAGATACCAAATGATTGTACGAGAACTATTTTAGTTCTAGCATTCAAGAACAAAGAAAATTTTTAAGATTGCGATTATTATGAGAAAGTCAAACTTATGAGTTATAAAAGTTAAGAGAGAGTGATGTAACATAAGCAATAAAAAATTAGGCCAATATCAAAAAGTAATTTGAGGTTTATGCCAAGAAGGTCAATCATCAACATGATTTCATCATTATGCATTTAATAGAAAAAAATATAAAGAGAGAAGAAACAGATCTTCATATGAGCTTTATTGATATTAAGAAGTGCATACGATTGGGTACTATGAAAATTGATATAATGCACTTTAAGGAAAAAATGTGTGAGGAAAAGTTATGCTAAATTTATTAAATCAATCAATGATGAAACATTGATTGGTGTTACAAGTAAATATTAAGTGACAAAGGTGATCCCAAACCATAACTTGTTTGCATCAACGATAAACATTAAGCTTATATAATTTTAAAAGGAGATTTAAATAAATGCCTCAAATTCTTACACATTTGCATATCTACAGCCTAAATCTTTATACAAATTTAAATAGCACCTTATTGTTCAAAAATAATCAAAACACATGCATGAAAAGGTGTACTTTATTTTAAACAAGTTGATATAAGTGGTATCATTTATGGGATATAAAAATTTAGGAATTTGATACATATTAACATAAAAAATCTATGGTATTTATGTATATCCCCATTTTATATTCATTATAAAAATTATTACAAAGGATATTCATAGGGTACCATAACGCTTTCTGTAAACAGAGGTGTTCTCATTGACAAGATTTCTATTGAAATGAGGTAATGTTAAAAAATGAAGAAAATACCAGAATAGATAGGACTTATGTAGACCAATACAAACACTACGTATATGATATGGAATTATTTTTTATTTAAAATTTACTAAATATCAGCCAATATTACTAAGAAAAAGAATAATAATCATATGAGATATGTGACATATGTTTTAAGTAACTTAGAATGCATATAAGGAAGAATGTGAATATAGATGTGTCAAACGGGAGAGAGGATTTGAAACATCTTTACTCAATTGTCTCCTTAGTGGAAGAAAATATATGCCTATATACAGAAAGAGCAGGGAACAATAAAGAGGAATATCCTCAATAATGAAGAAATATAAAAATAATAAATAATGCAACTTTCTATTAAATACAGTTACAACATGCCATAATTTGGATATCATCCCAACAAACTCAAGGTGTTATAAAATTCGTCAACTTAAGTATAGAAATAATAGTGACTCAAGATGAAGTAAAAAAAAGTTTTATTGCCAAAAAGTTGGCAAGTCGCAAGACGAGCATAGCTGGTCAAAGGAGAGTACAGTGAATCGAAAGAAAAGAAATTTCTGTTGAAGGTTGTGTGTGTGGAGCCTAATTAGGCTTGGAGAAGTGCCATGTAGCAGAACCCAGTGCCAAGGCGGACGCGCTAGCTTTGCCCACATAAGCAAAGGCGTGAAAAGGCAGCGCCTAAGAACGGGCAAAGCTGCGTCGTGGCATATTCGTTCCCGGTTTGAAAACAGAGATTTCAAGGAAACTCAATGCTCAAGACGGGTGATCGAGCGCCTAGATGAATGACTCCAAATAGAACACAAGAAAAGACAACGTCCAAGAGTGATGCTAAAGCACCAAAAGGGGTTTCTCTTCATATCGGGATTTAAATCCTCGACTTCTATATAAGGAATGCATCTCTTGATAGTGCGTGTAAAAAGAACGGTACAAAACGAGCAGCATGACAATCATGTTTTGGATTTGTGCAATCGTGAGTTCCAGACTTGCAGATAGGAACTCTGAGTGCGTTGTAATCTATACATTTCTCCTCGTTTCATAGTGAAATTTTTTGTGTGGTGTGGCTCTATCATTTTTTTTCATTCTCAGATTTTTTCACATTAAATCTTGTGTGTTTTGGATTTCTTGGGTTGTCTAATTTGTTCAGTTTTATTTCTAGATCTCTCAAATAGGTGCATTTTTCTGCAGTGTGATTTGATTGTGAATCGATCGAATCCAGTCTCTTCGTCCCAACAAATGATATCAGAGATAGGTTTTCTGAAGATCTTTGATTCGAGTGAGAGTAATGGCCGCCAAAGCGATGTACAAAGTGAAGTTCAATGGCTCGAACTTTATGTTCCAGAAAAATGCAAGTTAAATATTTGTTGTATCAAAAGAAATTATATATGCCACTAGAAAAAATCACCAGAATGAATGAATCTATAACTCTAAAAGAATGGAAAGTGTTATAGAACAAATGATATATCATTCACTTTCCTCATTTATCGCTTTCAAACTATAATAGATTTCATGGTAACACTAACAATGATGTATGAGAAGTATTCAACTTCACATAAAGATTTTCTAATGAAGGGGCTATTCAACAAGAAGATGTGGAAGGTAACTCAGTGGCTGAACGTTTGAATAATTTTAACTTACTCGTGTTATGTGGGCATCAAGTTCGATAACGATGTCAGAGCACTTTTAATTTTATCTTTACTATCTAATAGTTGGGATAGATTGGTTGCGGGGTGACTAACTTCTTCAAGTAATATGAAGTTAAACTTTGATGACATCATGGGATTAATATTGAATGAGAAATTTTGCAAAAAAACGAGCAGTGAAACTTCAAATTCTGCATTGAATGTTGAAAACAAAGAAATCAATCTGAATAGGAATACAGACAGAGATAGATTCAAATCTAGAAGAGAAAGTCATTTCAAGAAGAAATAACATAAGTAAATGTTAGAACTACGGAAAAAAAAAATGTCATTTCAAGAAGGATTATAAAGTTCCGATGAAGACTGGTGTTAGAAGTCAAGACAAAAATCTTTCTACAAATATCTCCACAAACAAAATTCAAGATGACTCCTTAGTTTCATCCCTATACAGTATTGAATCTTGGATAGTAGATGCAAGTGTCTCTTTTCATATTTGCCCCAACAAAGAGGTATTTAAAAACTACACTCAAAGTGAACTAGAGAAAATATATTTGAAAGATAATAAGGCATACAGTATTGTAGAAAAGGATGATGTTGAGAATAGGTTAAATTGAGTAGTCTAGAAGATCAGTGAAGTTAAACCTTTTTCAACTTACAAAGTCATGGTAAGTGACTACCTTTACATGTGATTTATTGAAAATGACAAGAGGGGCAATAGTAATGGCATTGAACAACAATGAAGACACTCTTTACATGATCGATGAAATAACAGAATCCATTAATGTGGTTGGAAAAAAAGTTGATGCAGAGCATTGGCACCACAGCTTTGGTCATATGAGCAAAAAAGATATAAAATCCCAATTTTTTAAGAGCAAGCTTCAGAGTTTAAAATCTATAAATCTAATTTTTTGTGAAAACTGTGTATATGAAAAGCAAAAAAAAAAATTTCTCCATAAGTGGGTCAATGGTGAAATCCAAGACACTAGAGTTAGTGCATAATGATGTATGAGATCCTACTCCAATTTAGTCCATTGAAAATTCTCATTATTTTATCATTTTTATAGATGAACACACCAGAAAGATAGGGGTTCACTTCTTAAAGCATAAATATGATAAATTTGAGTTATTTATGAAGTGGAAGACTATGGTAAAAATGAGACAAACTTGAGGTTGAAATGTCTCAGATCAGATAATGATGGTGAATATCATGATCAAAGGTCCAAAATTTATTGTGATTCAAAGGTGATCAAGCATGAATTCACTATTCTAAGGACAAATCAACAGAATGGTGTAGATGAGCGCGGGAATAGACCATGATAAAAAATGAGACAGCGTACCAAGAGTATAAGGTTGCATATAGGCTTGCCAAAAGAGTTCTGAACACTAGCAATGAACACTGTAGTTTATCTGATAAATTGTGGTTCGTCAATACCTTTGAATAAAGACACCTGAAAAAGCCTAGAGTGATAATGAGGTAAATCTAACCTGAAGGTATTTGGTTGTTTAACATATATTCATATTGAGGCATGATACAAAAGTAAACTTGCTTAAAATCTATCAAGTGCACATTCATTAAATATGATTTATATGAATTTGGATACAAATTCTGAGAGAATTAGAAGTTCATCAAGAGCAATAATTTGATATTATATGAAATGGAGATATACAAAGACATGAACAGAACTCAGGATTTTCAGTCAGCTACTTCTAAAGAGTATCAAAATATATAGAGATAGAAGGTAATGGTGATCAGAAGGATAAAGGAGAGGAGCATAATCTGATGAAGCACAATCCTATGTATGGTCTACTTTACACTCAAAACTCAATCAAACAAATGACCCCTTACTTTCACTTTAGCATATCAAGTGGATAACAATAATATAGGCTTCCAATAACCAAGCTATTCTGAAAGATATGAAATATGAATGTTAGATTATGAGTTGAGCTCCTGAATTCAAAAATGTTACATTAGATAGATTTGTACTGAAGACAAATTAAGTAATAAGTCTCTGCTCATCCCAAATGGAATGAAAGCACCAGCAAGAATAAAAGACGACACAACAAAAGATAACCTCATAAAAAGACAACGTAAGTAAACAAATCTAGAAAGTATGTGACAAGTGCAATCATGAGAAAATAGAATGATGCAGCTTGCAGAACAGTACACTAACATCTTATAAAGAAAATCAACTTTGAAAAAGGCTAACATACAAAACAAAAACTATTAAAATAAAGCTTCTCAATGAGTTTACTATAGAGTACATCCATGAGGCAGTAAACAAGAGAGAATGAAAAATGAGTAAGTCCATTAGTTAACCAGATTTCATCACCAAAAATCATTTACAGCCAAAATTGAAGGAAGTTATCCATGAAACCTTTTAATTTCAAGTGAAAAGAATTATTCCTCTGAATCCTGAAGAAGTTTGGAGCAATAAAAAATAAATTACAATTATAAAAGAAAAGCTAGAATAAAATCAATGGAGCTATTAAAATAAGAAATATTTTAAGAATGAATGACATGGTGAGCAAAAGTAAAATAGCAGGAGACACGAGATTTAGGATAGGAATAATGAATTAATATAAGTAATATTTCTTGCTCAGACAATTTGTCCCAATTATTGCATTAAATAAAGGAGACAGGTGATTCTAATTTGCTTCATATCAATTCATTATTCATTTTTCCCACCAGTTTCAGCTACATGGAGTATAAAGCGTTTCCTGAATGAAGCAACATAACAAAAATAGTAGGTAGGCGAGCCAGAAAAAACTGCAAATAACAATGTTCAAAATGGCAATAACTACGCAAGATCGTATTGCAACAAAATTAATTCGACATTAAGAATAAAAGCAGTGAATTAAATATAAAAACTTTGAAGAAATCCCAGAAAAATGGAAATTGCAATATTTATGATCCCCTACGCTGTAAAAGAAAATCAACTGCACGAAAGTATTTTTTTCTTTAAATGCTAGAAAACGTTTACTAACAATAGATATCCAAATAAGAATCAAGCAGCGCGTCAAAAGGAAAACGCATCGAATATCCTTAAGAAATCAGTACAAGTAGTTGAAAGGGAGCCCATCCCACCGCAATAGAAGCTTGCCAAATAAGCTCATAATAAAGGGATCACAATGCATAATATATTCAAAAAAGGAAACATAGAAACTACCCAAAGAGAAAAAAAAAACGGATCTTTATCAATGCTCGTTTCACTTTACTTACGCAGTCTAACTCCAACCGGTCAGATTAACAGCAGAATACAGAAGTTAGATCAATGAATAAACAGAAAATTCTACGCAAAGAAACATCAAGCAAGAACGTGTTTCCTCAGAAAACCGCACAACCACCAAAAGCAGCGATAGAGGTGCTAATTGAAAATCATAAAAAAACCGTAGTAATTTCCTGTATTCTACGCCTCTCCCTGTTCAGAGGTGGCATCTAAGGCACGCGGAGAGCTCCGAAAGAATAGACTACCTGAAAGGTGTGAGCAGGCAACTGCCAACCATGTTTCCTCACCATGACTCCTGTTAGATCACGGCATCAAGAAGATGGGAAAAAAGTGAAGAGGGGGCAGAGAAAAGAGGGAGAAGGTGAAGTGCATCAGGTGAGCAGGGGATGAACAGCTAAGCAAAGAGACAAAAGTAGGAGAAGAGAAAGAAACGGTTTTGGTTTTATCTGGGTTGAAAACCTAGAATCTCTGCTTCGGCTCGACTTCAGCGGGAAGTAGAGCCAATGCTCTGGAAGGCAAAGAGCAACGGGTTAGGCTTCGATTCTAGTGATCCCGCCTTGGACTCTCACTCGAGAGTTTTCAGTCTCGAACTCGAAGTAAAAGCCTCCATAGTCTCTCATTTCCACTCATTTTCACGCACATTTGTGCGTATAAGCTAATCTCTTCCAGTTGGCCTAGCCATTGGGCGGATCAGCTTCGTGTGCTTGTTCAAATTTTGAACATTTTAAGTAGGTTTGTGCTAGGTATGGGCTCGGGCCGTGTTTGGACCCGAGCTGAGCTGAGACGGATTTCTATTTATAATTTCATCCCCACAACTGCTCGCTAAATGGGCTGGATTGGCCCGTCACTTATGGTCCTTAAAAGAAAAGTCTGTCATATCGATCTTTGGCAGGAATTTAAAAATTGATACAATTATGTGGTAGTTTTGTATATAGCAATGTGTTTGAGTGTTATATATGTAATTGTTCCTATTTATGCTGAGTGGACAAGACGGAGAACTGCAATGTCGTGTGTAAATACACGGCATTTATATTTTTCAAAGCCGATCGTAATACTTTAAATGAGTTAATTTAAACACTCATATCACAGTAGGATTGGGATAAGAATACTTTTTGAAGAAAACTATGCTCTTTCATATGTTGCATCAATTGTTCAAATTTCACAAATATAATGAAAAATGATTTTTTTAAAAAAAGTATTTATCATTTTGAAAGCTTGCAATCGCAAATTTATACCTATGAGACTTGGTCATTAAGTGGGCCGGGCTTGGCACAGGTAATTTTGTTTATTTAAATAATTCTTACATTTATAATTTTTATTTTTCCTACATATTATTTATGTTTTAGATTCAATTCTTGCAATTCATATTTATACATTATTATTGTTGGACACAAAGCTAATAATATTTATATAATGCTTATGATTTGTGAGATATATACAATATTATTGTAATATTATGTTGGTGTTAAATTTTTTATAAATAGTTAGCTGGACCAAAAGATCATCGGAGAAATCATTGAATTTCTATGGTATTAGTGTATATTTTATTTCATTTTAGGATATTGTAGAAATTCGACTATATACATACATACATACATACATATATATACATTCGCTTTTATATTAAGATATTAACAAGTAAGGATAAATATTCAATATGTCATGTGTTAAAATGTATAACTATACTTAATATTGTGGCATATAAGTGTTAGTAAAGAAGTGCATCCACATAAGTCACACATGTTTGTAATCATTAACATATTTTTAATCTAAAATATTTGGACATTTGAGACTTAGTTAATGTTGAATACCATTATTGTTGTAGTAAGCAGAAAACATCAATTATTCGGTTATAAAATATACATAATAAATTATTTTTTGATTGCTTATGTTGCATGTTTCATTATCTAGTCATTTATGCTTTAATAGAAAATAATTATATAATGTGTTTGGTTTTCCAAACTCATTCTTCAGTACTTTGTATGGCAAATACTATCGATGTGTTTAAGTGATCATCGTCGTAGAAGAATATTATTCATCTATAGGATATTATTATTATTTTTTACTTTATCCATCACTTATTGTATTTCATTTGAGTTTAAGTAATCATTTGACATTTTTAAATCAATTTGGTTAATTTCATGTTCTTCATTCAATTATATCACGAGTTGACACTTGAAATAAAACTTATCTTTCTTTTGTTTACTTTCGATATGTTGTTTTTATGATGTACGACTTATTTTATTATATATATTGAGGGAGGTACGGAGGTAGAGGGAAGCACACACATTATCATAATCTATGATATTTATGAAATTATCACTAATATTATGTAGAGGTTGTTACATACATAGCACCCGAAATTTTCATATTTACGTTTCTCAAACTTAAACTTTCATAATTACAAACAAGATATGAAAAGTAACACTCAAATTCTCCTTTTGATAGTCAAATCTATCTTTTCATCTATAGATAAAGTGTTATGTGTGTAAAATGAAAGTTTGGGTGTGAGATAGATAAATGCATTAGAATTGGGTGCTATGTATATAATTTTCACTATAATATAATGAAACAACAAACTCTACAACAGGAATGTGTCTACATGAATCTCAAGGAGAAGTAACTGGAGACATAAAGGCTCGAACTCGAAGCCTTTATCTTCCAAAAATACATTCCATTAAAGTGTAATATCACAAAAAATGAGTTTAAAATTAAAATATGGGTCTACTAAAAATGCATATATTTTTGGTGTATCACCTCCATTCATCTTCCTCATTTTCTTCCATATTTTATGAGGGAGTCATGGGGTTTTCTTGAGGAAGAGCTCAGGATCAAAGCTTCCACTCTCATACTAGAGGAGAGCTTCTTCATAGCTTGAGAAAGGACCACCAGAACATCACTAGACCGAAAGATCCTCTGAGAAATCATTGAATTTGTTTGAATTAGTGTATATTTTTCTTCATTTATGATTGTTGACCTCACTTTTGGTTGATGTTTAGTTCTCCCTCTTTAGTAGCCTAGGGTTTAGCCATAGGACCTTCTTGTTGACTATTCCTAGAAGAAAACAAGAATGGAACCCTCAATATTAGAAACTCTAAACTCCTCCTTGCTCAACTTGAAGTTTCACATATTGGTCCTAACCTCTAGCACTTAGTAGGTGGGGTCAAAATGAGGGAGTTCAAGATGAGCCCCCATAGGATTGTCTGACCTTAGGGTTAGCCTTGGGTGTTGGTTTGGAGCTATTTCCCTCCCCTACACTCTCTATCACCCACAGTCACTCATAATCCTAAAACCTAAAATTGTTGACTTTGATCCCTTGATTCTCTTGGGAGATCTCTTGGGAGACTCATGTCTTGGGAGACTCATGTAGATGGTCCCCTAAACCCACTAGCCCTCGGCCAGGGTTTAGCTAGGAATAGCACATAAAGGACCCAAATGGAGATTCCATTGGTCCATAGTTCACATATAGTGGTTGGCTTCCCAATTATACCATAAATACCCAACTTGGCCTTTTGCCCCTAAATCCACCTAAATTACCTAAATGCCCTTGAAACCTAAATTTGGCCAAAAATTCCCAAATTCACTCAAATACCAAAACTTATTCAAAAATCATTTCAAACCATTTAAAAATACCCAAATTGCCCAAATCCACCCGAAAATTCCAAAATTTCCAATCAGCCAAAATTTCCAAAACTACGAAAATACCCTCAAATTTACCAAAATTACAAAAATACCCTTAACACCCCAAACTTTCCCAAAACCTCCAAAATCACTCCAAATATTTCCAAAACCAATTTGAACCCTTCAATTGAACCAACCCTTCAATTGAACCCCATTTTGACCAAAACCCCCAAATTACCTTTAAAGGCTCAATTTTCCTAAATTGACCTAAAATGTTCATAAATTTGGGCCTAATTTCCCTCAATTTCAAATCTAAACTTAAATTAACCTTTCATATGACCAATCTAAACCAAATCCAAGCCTAATTGGTCCATTCTTTGAGCTCAATTTTGATCTAAGTCAAACCCCCAATTTTGGCCCTATGACTTAATCCCACCAAATTGAAACCCATAGCCTACTTAATTTGTCCCAATTTGAATCCTAAACTCTTTATAACAATCATAAACATCAAAATTGACCCTAAATTTGCCTTGTTCAAGCCTCAATTGCACTCAATTTTGACCCAAGTCGAAAAATCCCCAAATTTGCCCGAAATTAGCTTTGTCCCTAAATTCCACCAAATTGAATGCCTTAAGCCCAAATTTGGCACCAAATTTAAGTTGAAAACTCTTCATGACATTCCTATAGACCATTTTAAATGATCAATTTGAACCTCACCTAACCTTAGCCCAACCTAGACCCAAGTCTAGTCCAACATGCTCAAATTGACCAAAATCCCAAAATCCTTCAAATTGAGCTTCCAATTGGACTCAAAATCATTTCAATACTTCACCAAAAATTTTCATAACAATCATTTACATAATTTTGATCAATAAATTGGGCTCAAAGTCATGGCTATCCTAACCTAAACTCAACTCTTAGCCATTTGGACCCAAATTGGACCCATGCACCAAAATTAACTTAGCCATCTCAAAGCCACCAAATTGATGACTCCACAACCACTAAGTACACTCTATCGACTATGCTAAACCCCCTTGGACTAGCCATGGTGAGCTATGTACCATTGGATCCCTAAATTAAGGGATTTATGCCCATTTATGGGCCTTAACCAAAAATCTTCCCCATCATCAGTTGTCATTGAGGGTTGATTATAATTAACCATCCCACTGGCTCACCTGACCTCCTGACCACCTCTCTGGCCCTGCTGGTAAACACCAAAATCGAGAGACCTAAGCCAAAATTCAAACCCAAACTCACCCATCTAAGCTGGCCAATTTTAATTAGCTTTAGCACTTCAAAACCCTCCACCTAAGCTCCATTTTACACCACTCAATTGGCCATGACAGCCACCCTAGGCCATTTTATTTAAACCTTACCTCCATGGAAAAGAGAGGAGAGCTAAAATTTTCTTAAGGAAACTCTGCTAAATTGCTCTCAGAGTCTCCCTAAGACCTCCTCAGTTCAAGCCCACCATTTTCCCTCATTTCCCCCCACTGATCCCCACCGTGGAAGCTCAATATTGAGCTTAAAATTCTGCCAAAACCAGGACAGAACTCTCCACAACTCCACAGCTCACTAAACTCCAATTACTTGTTTACACACCATCCCCACAGTGAGAGAAGTTGATTCCCCACAAAAGCCCCCTCTGAAATAGCCTCTAACCTAGTTTTAGACCAACACCTGAAAACCACCTTGATCCAATTCATACCTAGACCATTCACTAAGGCTTGGGACTTCATTCAGAGGCTTTTTAGGACTAATCAAAGCTACCACAACCATTTGATTGTGGCATCACCTCTCAGACAAAAGTATTGAACCCTAACCCTAATTCAAACTTATTTTTACTCTCCAAATGTATTTACTGTGTTTCATACCGTGTAATCTATATAGATAGGTTCATATTGAGTAGATAAAGGTTTAGAAACAAACCTCATGCAATTTGGTTGAGTCTAGGCCAAGATATTAAGGGCCAAGATATTAAATTAAGGTTTTAGTGTGAACGGCTCACGGGTTAGGTCACTTGAGGATGATAACGGAGAGTCATCTGATC